TTAAAATTAAAATATAATAAAAAGCCTATGAGATGCACTCGGTAATAATCTTGCCTTTAATTTTTATAATAGGTCAATTCATTCTAAATTTTAAAATAACGGAGATAAACGTGATCTGYTGARYGTAARATTTGCTATGCTAYGCACTTGTACGACGGAGACAACACATGCGGGTTTGGSGTCCTCTTAATATTTTTCAATTATAACAAAATCACTAACATTGCTTTTGTTAAATTTCTTATTTTTAAGCTACATTCATCAAATGAGAACATTAAAAAAAAATTATAATGTCAAAATAAACAATTTAAAAACCACTAACGTATGCTTCACTCAGAATCAAAAATGTATACACATTACACAGTAACTATATATATATAGTACTTTGAGTTTATAAATATACGTTTACATTAACTTGTGTAACTCAAACAAACAAAAAACACAACTGTTATGGACGGAATGGTTTTATAAATTATGATTTATAAAGTATCCAACCACATAGGTATTACAAAATAAGTAATGATACAAAAAAATACTATAAGGAAACTATATAATCTGTTCTATTGTTTTGAATTAACAAAAAAAAATAAAAAATAGTTTAATAAGTGTACACACGTCATATCTTAGTGATATGAGTCACTTCTAGTAAAAATCGGTATAAATGTACCATCGATAACTATGTAAAATAAATTATTTCATACTAATGTAGTAATGTACAATATGAATGATGATAATGATTTTATTTTGTTCCAAGTACATGATTATATTTGTAAATAATATATTAATGTAACATAGTGCATGTTATGTCTCATGTAATAAATAATAATATTCCTCAATATAACATTAAAAACAATAACATCAATGCAATTAGAATACCAATTTTTCAATGCACAAATACGAATTCTATCAAAATGCAAAAAATATGGTACATTATTATTATTCTTTCGTAGAACGCCATTGAAATAATTGAATACAATATAAACGAATAGTTTAAATAACAAAACATGGGCTAGCATTGTTCATTTAATTTATATAGGTAGGGGGTCCATCATTTTTATTCTATCCATATTCTTATTTCTTGGCAATATGTTTGTATGGACCATGAATATTAATTATGACGTCATTCCATTAAGATAAATACATTGAAAATGTACTGAATGAAAGTAATTGGCCAGTATAGCCGTAATATTGTTAAAATGCACAGTTATTTTATAAATTTTTATTTAAATATATTTTTATCTATATGTTAAAAATTATAACTAACAATAATAGTATAGTATACAGTATACCTATATGATATATCCTATATTAAATATTTTTAAACACATTTTACAACTCTTTAATATGTGTCAATTTAACTAATTAAGAAAAGTAATATTTTTAATAGGATAAATAGTAACTACCATGTTATTACAATAATATATTATACTATTGTTTCTTAACCAACAAAATTATATTTATTAAAAAATATCGATATTGAATAATACTACAAATTGAGTGCAAGGAAAAATTGGCATTTTGCACACGGCAACTGTTCAAATGTATTTTTGATGATTTTAATCTCCTGAGAGAACTTTAAATATAGAAATCATAATGAACAGTTATTATGTATAAATAATTTTAGGCTTACAACGTCACTGAGTGGGGTTGCCCTGATTATGTCGAGTGCTGACCACAGAAAATAAACGAATCAAAATAAATACAAGGCACCGTACAGACTTATTAATTACGATGTTATTGGATGTTTGTCTTAAAAATATGGATGAACTCAGCTAAAGTTTTGTATACTTATAAGTTATAAGCATTAATATGCATAAAATAGATTTTACAGTTGTGAATTTTGCCATCATGAGCTAGGTAGTAGGTACTATAACGAGCCGTGACTCATTTTTTTTTTAATCTAGTCGCAAATCAATTACGAATAGGATAACTTGAGTCAACATTTATTTATGCATTGATTATTAATCTTTTTTTAATATCCACTTAACGGAAATCATAATTGTTAATTAATTTAATTAATTTTTTAAAAAGAGATTTCCAGATCTGTAGCTTAAGTTTCCCAAAAACAATTTTTATTAAATAAAAATAATATAAAAAATATATTATCAAGTATTTATCAAATCTAATACCTATACATATATTATAATTTCCAATTGTAAATAAAATCTATGCATAAATTAATTTTTTTATTGCCTTTTAGTCAGGGACTATAAGACAGCTTGACAATTATTTCAAGTATACTTAATTTATATATAAACTAACTTACATTTTTATATAACACTAAAAATATAAATTTTTTGTTATAACAAAACTATATTTTAAAATCTATCAAAATATTTGTTTTCTAAAACAGTAATAATTTTATAAAAATAAATTAATAAATTACAATAAAAGTTGTTGACAAAAAAAAAAAACTGTTGAAAATGTAGGTATATACAATTTTTTATTTCCTTCTAGAAATAGATATYGTATAATATCTTACAATGATTATAATATTATAATATCATAACAAGATAGTCAACAACTATATCCCAACAATATTAAATTATTATATTGATACATTTATCGATAATATTATTTGTTTCTGATGTAGTTGCTACTTGTGTAGCTACTTTACTATGACATCATATTTAATTACGATAGATATACAAATCATCAAATTACAATGCATATTTGGTGTCGATGATAAAGTTCACATAGAATAGAAATAACTAAAACATCATTCCAATTTACTACTTAAATTTCAATTTAATGATGAAATTAAATCCACAATGTAAACTATCTTGTTAATAAAAAGATAAAATTTATATTTAATTCTTTATTATTATTTGTGGTTTAAAAAAATTACATTAATAACTRTCATATTCAACCCAAAATAATCTGTAAGTACCAATTTATGCCAACAATATACTTATAATTTTCTTTTACTTTTTTCCTATGAATAGTAAAATTAGTTTTAGTTTGGCATACTTTCGATCTAATTAGCAATTTTGTTTTGTTTTTATTCTAATGATAATGAACTAATAAAGAAAATAATAAAARCCTGGATAACTAATTTTAAAAGAAAAATTTGAGAACAGATTCATGGGAATGAGAAATAAGTTCTGGTTTTGATTGATATGTATCTATAAATATGAAACATTTATAATTACTTCTTCACTAGTACCTAATTTAGTTATATTTTATTTTAATATAAGTACCAATAGTAAGAACATCATCCTCAATTTCTATGCGTAATTATTTAACATATATACATAAACTTTCAAATTTAAAAATTTTGGATAACTTACCTTTGAAAGAGGTAACACAATAAAAGCGCCTCCACCAGCTGATTCAACAATACAGGCTACAAATTTTGGATTCACTGCACAAAATGTGGAATCCCAAGAAGATTTGGACACTCGAATATTGTCATAACAATATTCACGTTTTAGAGCTGTGCCATAAACATGACGAAACTTACTACTTCTTACTTTAAAAGACATCTGTAAATAAACAAAATTATTAAAAATTAAATTATTGAACAGCATAAGGATAAGCCAACATCTAAATTATTTTAAATGCAATATAGACATACAAATAATAAATACTTATTTTTTCCTCAAATATCATTATGTTTAATGTCATTCATGGTTTTGATAAATTGTACAACAAAATATGTATGACTGACCACGGTGTGCAAGTGTAATGTACCTGACCAGACTGTTTAATATGTAGKAACTTATAAGTTGTAAACTCATTGTAAAATACTTCTAAAAAGCATATTTAAGAAGGTWGAAAACCATAATTTGGACTTGAATTCATGGTTACAATAGGTAATTTCCCCAAAAAATTAGTAGTACACAATTATTATTAAAAACCTATAACACATGTGTAATTGTAAACTTGATCACACATATTAAATGTTWAAGTTACAYAAACAATTTGAAAAATCGAATTTGATAAGAAAAATCATATAACATTTAGTATCATTATTTTTTTGTAAATAAATGCATTTATAAGAACTATAATGTACACGAGCGCCTGTGATAATTTTTTCTCAAAATGTATAACACAATTATCTCCAACTTTATAACAAAACCTTACATAAGACTGGATTTAACWTCAAAATCTAAATCTACTTAAAAATATTATGTGATGGCTTTGAATATGTATGAATACTACTCTTGTTTCAGTATAAAAATTCAATCAGCCTATGTATTAATTATTTACATTATAATTTTGTTTAAATTTGTATTTACTACCTAACTCAATCATAGATGTCAAATTAAATTAACTAGTGAACATTATGTTGTGGGTTWTCCATAAAAAAATATCCACAATAATATTCACATAGGTAATTCAGTTAATTTAAATAATAYCTAAAAGGTGATCAGATAAATTCAGAGAATATTTGGTTTTTGAACAAAATTTGTTTAAATGAATCGAATCATATCTAAAATTAAAAATGTATAAATAAAAACTGAGAACCAATAAATTTAATGATTTCCTACAATACCTATCTAAACGTTCTTTTCCATTTCCCAATAAAATTAATGAAGGAATAAAATAAATAACTACATACAAATTAGTAATGATTGCTTATAGAAATTAATTTTAAACATTTTGCAGGTTTTCAAAATATTGACTCTCGATAATAATTAACCAGACAATTATAATCTCTACAGTTGGTTTTTTTTTTTTGGTAAAAACTAAAAAGTGAACTTTAATTATTCTTAAGTTTGCTAATCCTTGAGCTTGTCCTTATGCCAAAAAATTTGTGTAAATAGACAGATGTCCTCTACATTTTTGTCATTGACAAATATTCATCAAGATTCAAACGGATTCAAAAAAAATGAACGAGCAACTAACAGACAAGTATGACAATCTGGTCGGCATTTTATATTCCAATTATCATTTATCAAGTATACACGTTGATCAATAGGAATGAAATAAAATTGACACACAGAGAAACTCGTAGTGAGTAATCTGAAAACAGTGTAACATGACTCACGCCCTCGGGCAACATTTTAGTAAGCTRTATGTATTTAAACACACAATATTAATAATGATAATACCGCAACCTAGGCACATAATYCCTATTGGATCAAAAAAATGATTCCATTTGACTTGGGCACAACTACAGTATAATTTATTACAAGACAAATCGCTTAACGTAAACTCACCTCGGTGACTCATGCAACGGGAATTTCTCTCGAGTATAATCTGTACAATATTTGATATATTATTTTCCCGGCGTTATCTCGGAAACTGCTAACGGAGCTCCGGCGGTCCAGCCAAGTGTATGTGTATAGCGTCAGCCGTGAGTGTGTGCGTGTGGCGGMGACGTGAGGTGTGTAAAGCGGTCCGCTAGCGGATGAGAATAATATTATATTATTTTGAAAAGTATCAAAGTTCGCGTGATATCGTCGATCAACGGAATCACACGACGATATTATTTATATAGTAATAAATTGTTATAATGTGTGCGAGTTGACAAAAAAAAAAATAAATAAATAAATACTTAAAACCAAATAAATATTACAGACGGACAAGATAACCGGAACGTCGTTTCAACCGCGCGATGCGGGGGGAGAAGGCAATATTAAGCAACGGCTGAACGGCGCGGCGAACTGGCCGTGAATCGGAGGGAAAAAAAAGGTCCCCGTCTAATATCACTGAATCACTCTACCATATTTGGCGTTTGCGAGTTGGAAACGCGACGGCTGGCTACTGAGTCGGTGAGACGGATGGACGGCCGGGGGTCGTCCGCCGGTTTATTTACAATCAACGACGCACGGGCCAGTGCGACATCGAGCGCCACGGCCGCAGTGCCGCCAACGTCACGGGACCCCCACGCGAGCGGCGGCATCGCGGTAAAGCGGTAAACGTAAGCAGGCTACGGTTGACGCGGTTGATGCCCGTGGTCGTCGTTGTCGCGCACGTCTGACGCGAATAATGTATTTATGAACATGTAGAAATACTAGAAATGTAGAAATGTAGAATAATACGATAAACTCAATGATTTATAATATTATTATTATGCGAACATACCACAAAATGCGGTGGTAACTGTGGTACGCATCTACATATTCTACTGAACTGCGCCATAATTTACAGACTATATTATTAATATAATATTGTTTAATATTAATTCTACTGTTCGTCAACACGGCGGCGAACACGCGTTTCGTATTCGTGTCGTGAAATCTTTTGCACACCGCACACGCATAACATATTATTATTATTATTATTATTATTACCTATATCCTGTTATATCATCAACAACCAACAAGAAGAGACACTTTATATTATTATTACGCAACGCCGAACGATTATTATTTATAGCAACATTCGTAGTTCGATTATAAAATCATGTATTGTAGTGTTATAACCTAACTATTAAATTATTATTTAAATTCTTGTAAAACTGAATTTTCGTTTTACAGCTCAACAGTAGCGTAAAATGTATAATTGGTCCAATAAAATATGCAGATTTGATTTGACTCTTCACGCACAAATGGTAGTTCTTTCTTCCTCCTCGGTCCCACAAACTTAAAATCCTTGAAAATAAGTTACGGTTGAGAGATTAGTCCCTAAAAAATACTGTAAGTCAGCCCAAATTAATGGATACTCCATGCTCATCAAAATTAATGACTATAAAATTATAATGAGTGTAAAACTATAAAATAATTATTTTTTCATTTACTGTCAAACCATCCGAAGCGTATTATAACATTTTTTATTTCATAGTTTTATAGATAAATTATTTTTTTAATAGCTAATTTGTTTCAGAGTTTTTAATAAAATACACAATGTCACAATCATATTTGATTTACATTTAATGAGCGTATAATACTATAATGTATATTTTTCCGTTATATTATAGTTAATACATATTAATATTGTGGTAAAATTTACTATAATATTATCATTCATCATTCATGATAATGTGGTATCTCATTAAAGTATATTTTTTAAATTCTTGTACGTCATCACCTTATGAGGCAATAACRCTATTTTCGTTTTCTAAMTGAGCATTTTTTYTGAAAAGCCCCACTGCCCYAGTCRTTTTCAAAAGCTTCGAGATTCGGGAAGGACGGGAAGCCATAAGGATTTTTATAAGGATAAAAAAAATGTGAACAAGCTCCAGTACCTACCGCTCTACTGCATGCCTGCGTAAACAGGCGGTACAGTAGCCAGTAGGTACCTACCACGATGAAATTTAATGTGATATATTATATCTTTTTGATCGTGATTCCTACCTTCAGGGGTCATTATAATTAAATGTGTTAGATTTGAATTYAATAATGATAAGTAAAATTATTGTATAGGAAAAACGATTTTAAGCGAAGACACTTAGCCTATATTACTAAGTATGTTTTTATAATATTAAATTTAGTTRCCATTAAAATAACTTTTTTTCTATTATATAGATATTATTTTTCTTCTTCTGGCTTGTGCTACTCTACGGGAGTTTTTGTCACCATCACAACTTCATAGTAATTATTCGTTTGAATTTTTTTCTTATTAATATAACTTTTCTAAAAAAAAAAAGGAATTGATGTGCACATAACCAATTACATTTTTTTTTCAATGAATTATTTTGGACGTCATCGGTATTTTAATTTATTTTTACTGTCACTCGGTTATTATAGTATTATATTCTGATTATCAGCTAATAACGTTCGTCGATAACTATCGTAATTCTTTGGTAAGTGTAGAAGGCAGGGGCTACTAAGAGCAATTCAATACACGACTATAATTACGCAACTTATCGTTCGACTCCGAACAGAACAGACGCGAATCCAGAACAGATTTACGGGATGGGTGGCCATAAAATATTATTAATAGAGATTATCAGGGTTTATTATGTTAATATTTTTCAACATCAGGATAATAATGATTACTGATTAGGTGACCTTTAAATAAGCTAAAAAATAATTGAACAAACATTTTTTTTTAATATTTAGGTTACTCAATCTTACATCTCATTTTATGCTTATAAAATATTTTGTTACATTATACTTTTTATATATTAGAATGGATCTATCCTATAATGAATGGTATTATTTTTTCACCAGCCTCTTTTTTTTTTTAGATTTTAGGGGAGCATCCGTGTGACTCCCATGCCCCCCTAATATCCGCGTCTGGAACAGAAGGAGAACAGCAGGCGGGCAAACTACAAAAAAATAAAAGCAACGCTAATACACAGGTGTTGGGCACGTGTATGTCGACAGGAACAATTTTTATAATACAAACAACAAATTGCAATAATATATTTGATGATATTGTGAGAACAGAACAGATTAAGAACGCCGATCGTCAGGTATGCGTGAGCGGATTAACAAAAGTTGCACGGATGATCGGACGTTTCGAGAATAAAAACTTGAACGAGTTACTTCGTTACACGAAAAGGCTACGGCGAGCGGCGTGAAAAAGACGTGATGCTTGCGCAAAGTCATTTGGTCGGTACCAAAAAATAAAGAGCCACGCGCGACTGTTCACAAGAACAGGAAGGTAGGTACGTCGATCCGTAACGAACATACAACAACAAAAAGGACAGGGCGAAATTCGGTCGGAAGTCAACGGATTGCACTCGAGCGTTTGAGTCGACTGATGTAAATCCAYGGAGCGGACAGGCTGTGTTGCACCTTGAAGAACGCCTTCTCTTGGCGTTCGAGTGCGACGAGTGATTTTAATTTTGAACAGATCCTACTCGAAGTGTCTGCCTTGGTCGATGGTGATGACGTCGGGCACCCCGAACCGTGCTATCACTGCTATTCAGATCATTGTTAAAAGCTGCGCGACATGCATATAGGCTGACATACGTATTCTCGATCGGCCACGCCTCTGGCCAGCGCGTGAATCGGTCGACGACGGTAAGATAAATATCATAAATACGACACACATTATAGTGTTCTATCGATGTTTGAACATGTTTATTACAATACATTTATAATTTATATGCAGCGCCGGTGGAAGTGCAGGGCAAAAARGGCAGTTGCCCAGCGCCTCGCCAGTTTAGGGGCACCGTGCCTTTCATGGCATTTTATGATTTGTAGTTTTATAATCCTATGACTTTGTTTTCAAATTATAAATACAAGTGCTGTCTGCAGATTCAACGATTTTTTGGTTAGGTTSTGTTTTCTGAATTTCTATCATCGTTTTATTCCCAGCCTTCGAACAATAACTATCGTAGACGGCGACCGCACAAGCCAGTTTCGATGCCTGACGGCCTGTCGACGAGCGCACGTCGATACAGACGATTATCGCACTTGAGACCGGGCGTCACACTACGCGTCAGCAAATATCTCCGTGCGAGTCGTCCTCGAACAGAACGACAGTGGTCAGTGGCAGAAGCTGGGTTTTTTCTCGAAAAAGTTATCTCCCGTAGTCCCGTCGAACATAGATACAACACGTATGACGGAGAGCTTTTAGCCGCGTATTTGCAGGACGCGTGACATTTACATCGAACTGCGCCTCACGACCAGGGGTTAAAGTGGGGGGGACGCAGGAGGACTCAGTCCTCTTACCTCTGACGGCGGTTAAAAAGCGTCCCCTTTAACAAATTAGGACTATACATTAGACATTATACCTAAAATTATATATGGAACGCTTAAAACTTTATCGAGACATCAGTCCCCTCTGGAATTTTTCCTCAGTTTAATCTCTAACTAGCCTTTTCGTGCATCGATTTTATAATCGCATTTTCGTCAATTAAAACTCGTTTAAATTTGTACTCTCAAAACGTCCGATCTTGCTACTTTTGTTAAGCCGCTCACGCACATTCGACGATCGACGTTCTTATTCTGTACTCACAATATCGAATGTGTTATCGGAATTTGTTGTTTGTATAATAAAAATTGTTTCTGTCGACACACGCAAGTCTTACACCGGTTTATTTATTTTTTCGTAATTTGCCCGCGTGCTGTTCTCCTTCTGTTCGAAGTCAAACGATAAGTTGCGTAAGTTTAGTCGTGTATTGAATTATTTAAATTTTAAATTGTTCTTAGTAGCCCCTGCCTTTTACAATTGTCAAAGAATTTACGAAAATGATCGACGAACGTGTGAGTGGGGTGTCCACCCATTTAGGTAGGTACCCACTTTATTTTTAAATGCGTCAATACTAAAAATGAAATTGAAAAGACAAAAAACTAGACAAACAGAGCTTTAGTTAATTTTTTTTACCTATTACCTATCTAAATAATGTCTATTGTTAAAAAAATTTAAGTATAGATACTCAAAATAAATTTCACGCCCCAATTATACCTACTCAGGCGCAACTCCAAACACATGTATACACATTTACATTTTACAAATAACTTTTTGTAAAAAAATGTATGGTTGATAAAGGTAGATGAAAGTAAAAAACAATATATTTTTATTAGAAATACATAAAGGTCACAATTATAAGATCTTAAAGATAGATTAAAGATTTAATAATGGTAATATATCACCAAATTTGGCTTCAATTTTAAAATCCACACAGTCATCAGCCCTAGTTGGGCCTATATTTACCACAGCAACAGGTTTATTAGCAGATTTTGTTTCCAATACTATTCTATAACCCGAGTATACAAATAGAGATGAACCCATAACCAGGAGTGAATCACATTCTTTCACAAAATCATTCACCCTTTGAACGCGATTTTTTGGAATGTTGTCTCCGAAAAAAACAATGCGAGGAATTAATAAATTTCCTTCACATTGAGGACATTTAGGAACCTTGAATCCACCAATTTCTTCCTGTTGAATCATAAAATAATAAAAATTAAATTATAAATAATAAAATTATAAAATATGTATCACRGCAAAGGTTTTCTGTAAATACTTTGTACATTAAAAAAATAAAATGAGATAATTTTAYCTCAAAAAGTAAACAAAGGTATTTTATGTTTGTTATGGATTAAGTTTTTGTAAACAAATTACAAGATAAAAATTATTTTCAATGGTTTAAATACCTAATAAATTATAAGTTATGTAAAAAATCTAAATGCAATTTGTTACAATGTTAAATAAATTATTATTTTGTTATTGTTATTATTATAGATAGCTGAATTGAGAAACCTTATTGGCTACACTAAACTGCCACACTACATATGGCTGTCAAGTTTTATTGTGACTGAGAAGAAAAATTGTTTTAACTGCAAATAAGTAAATAATACTATGCAATCGAAAATAATGTTAAACATTTTGATTTAAAACATGTTACCTTGTGCTTGATTAGAAAAAAAATTAGAAGTGGGGCCAGGGGCGTCATTTGGGGGGTGGCAGGGTGTGCGGTTGCACCCCTTAATTTTAGAATGTTACAATTATTTATATGATTAAAATCAAATTGTAATAACCGGTCTATAATATATGGAAATAATTGAATGCAGGTCGCAGGATAATATACATATACGTATGTATATCTATTTTTATATGGCCTGGTGAAATTTCAAAATGGCCTGCTTGAAACTTCGCACACCCGAAAAAAAAAAACCTGAAACTACGCCACTGAGTGGGGCGAATTAGTGGGTATAATGGATGAAAGAGCGTTCCAGTCGAAATTAGCCATCATCCATCACATTACCGTGAATATATATGTAATATTATCTATTACCATACATCCATACAGCAATAATCAGACCAACACAATATTAAATTACATTTATTTATTTTTAATAAATTGTTAAATTATTAACTTAGGTATGCATTAAACAAGGTCTATAAATGTTGACATGAACTATCTTGCATAATACAATTTTTTTAATATTACTATATTTTTTATAGTTATAAGRAATTTTAACAATTAATTTGTTGTAGGTACAAAGTAAAAAAATGTTTGCTATTATATTTTACATCAGAAAAACTGACATTTACTAATTTATTAATAAATGTAACGTCCCCAATGTTACATTTCAAAAAATATGAGTTAGCTCAATAAAAGGGAAAAAMATAAAGGTGACTATGTCCTCTTGCCCCCCCCTCTTAAAAAATCAAGCAATKATGTTAATTTATATTTTCTACAACACAAATGTAACAGGAATATTCTAATAAATCATGTTAGGTATATGTAATAGGTATATAATATGTAGGAGTTTAATTATTAAGTTTTAGATGAAAAATGTTTTAATGCATGTAATTAATTAGAGGGTGAAAATAAATAAAAAATAAAATATTTAAAAATGTTTTCCCTTACTGGAGTGAGTTCAACATCACCATCAGGCCTGACACTGTACAATTCTTTAATGGAAACATGAGGGTTTAAACTTGATAAAACATCTTGAAATTGATGTCTATCAGTTTTATAATCACATTCTAAACAATGTACAACGTAAGAAGTTCCATGCAATTCAAGTACATTTTTACTTCCTGCTTTTGWATGCAAGTTATCAACATTCTGAGTAATAATATGAACAATTTTGTTTTTATCTTCTAAATTCTTTAAAAACTTATGTGCATAATTAGGCGACATTGATGAAAATCTTGGCCATCCAACATAGTTTCTAGCCCAATAACGGAGACGTACTTCTGGATTTTTAATAAATTGTTGGTATATTACCGGGCGGTTTTTACTTCTCGCGTACAACCCGACATCAGCAGAACGATAATCTGGTATACCACTTTCAGTTGATATTCCCGCACCTGTGTTAAATGAATATCATTACAATATTTAAATCAACCATTTATGATACACTCTACCAGTTAATACAAGTATTTTTTTATGTTCTTTAATGAAACGTTCAAGAGTAATAGCATCTGATGATTGCACAGGCGAGTGTTTTGGGACAAAATTAGAGCTGAACCTAAAAATTAAACTTTTACTTGAATTTAAAATTACTTCACGAGTCTTAAAAATTATCATATTAAAATGTACGATAGGTATAGATTTAATTTTCACTTATGATTTTCGAATGCACTATCTTAAATTTAGGAACATCAAATTCGTGACGAAATAATAATACACTGTTCAAAATAAATTTTACCACAAATCACAAAATWACCAAATATTAGACTGAATAGACTGAAGTCATGGTAAAGTTAACTTACCAATGCAAGTAWGAAAACTTTGTAGTCTAGTCAGTTTACTATGGGTAGTATTATCATTTATCACAGTCATCTGTAGAACGGGTTATCTAAGGATTATTACTAWAATATATTCTGTGATAATATTATGATCAAATGTACTCATATTTCAAATATAGATTTCTGTCGTAGATCTATWAAGTTATTTCTACTGTTGATTTGCGATTTGATTTCTGTGCCATAGCCCAAAAGGTTGAAATTTTTTATTTTGTCATGACAGATCAATTTCAAAATTCCAAATTTGTTTTCTTTATACTATTTGACTGTTGGATACTTGGCTAGATACTTGACTAGTTGACTATAGTCCTTGTTACCTTGATATAAACTTTTTTTTTTATCGTGGATCGGGATTCGGGGGTGTCCGCGTAGATAATAATAATAATAATGTAGGATCATGAAGGATGTTGCTAATCGGCATTCAGCTGCTGATACAGATGTTATTTTTTTTACTTTGTTTACTGAAGTTTGTTATCATATTATCAACTTGACAACCTCAGTCTTCATTTCTTTCAATACTTCGTCATTCATGGGTTAAATTTTTTAATGATTTTAGTATTTAGTTTAACTTTTATAATTTATAATTTTTAATTTTGTTCACTCCTACAATCAYTCTTGTCATTTTATCTTCATTTATATATATTAATTTACTCACGAATGTCTCAGTAAAWCATGTTTAATAATTCAACAGCTGTAAGTTCAGTAATGGGGCTAATGTCTCATTTAACTGCTTCTGATCTCAAAGAAATACTAAATGATGATAGTAAATTTGAGATGTATGCTAAAGAACTAAAACCGGTAAGTTGTTATGATTGAGAATAACTGTAGCATTTGAAGGTGATTAATATTTTATTTTTTTTTTTGAACATTAATTTTAGAACAAAGAAATMGATACTGAAAAAGAAATGTTAATAGCAAGTAATCAATCTTTGGCTGAATTTAATCTTACTAAAGAACCAGAATTAGTTAGTGGTAAAGAAAGATTATGTGAAATGTATGAGGAAGCAGAAAAGCTTTATAAGAGTGTTACAGAAAAAGTAAATACTCTAAGTAAGTATCTTAAATTAAGTGCAATATTACTTAAAAATAATTTTTCTGTTTTAACAACAATAAATGAAAACTAACCTATAACTAAGTATGATAGGATTTTTCAAGAGTTTTATATTTATTTTTAATCTGTATAAATCATTTTTTTGTTTTTAAATGTTATGTTGGGATGTGTTTATATAGAATCTAGGTTGTTTCAGCCCTCTCAAAAAAATAAATAAATTCATGAACGTTTAGTTGTTTAAATATTATTATTATTATTAATTACTTTTGATTACTAACTACCTTGAGGTTAATGATTTCCTGCTAATAAAATTATATCTAGCTCAGTCTTAAATCTTCCTTTTCAGACATGTCAACTGTATTTTTCAGAAGTTGTTAAACTAYGCTAAATCCTAACCTAACTTAACTACAGTAGACTCGCCTCCCTTAATGCCCCTTTTAGTAAAATGTCCTCTTCAAAACTTAAAAAAAAACCTACTAAGGGTCGGTACTATCCATGTTGGGAGTCTCTATTCTAGAGTTATAATCTAAAAAAATTTTATCCTCTAATTGACTACAAGACATGTAAATAGTCTCTCAATATTTAATTTTTTATTTTGCTTAATTTCTTCATATTTATCAAATTTAAATTAAAAGAAATAATAATAATAATATCAATTCAATATTCTTTCACTAATTCTAAATCAAGTTAGCTGTTAGGTAATTTTATAATAAATATACAGAATACCTATACATATAATATATATGTATATAAAATATGATACACGTATTATATGGATTAGTGTGCCACGAAAGTTTTGTAGGAGATGAGACGGCACCGCATTGTTAAAAAGGTTGAAAACCACTGTGCTTTAGTTATAAAAAAATTAATAAGAAAGTCCGGAATACASAGTACGGACTAAATGGTTATATTACATGTTTTTTTTCTATAATATGTATAAAAACATTCTGTCAGACAATAAAGTCAGTTTCACTACTGAAAATCTTGCAAATACATGGTTGTGACTTGTGAATTCTTTTTTTCAATTTAAATTAATTTAAAATTTTTTTTTTTCAGTTTTACAATTAGTTCATGTTAATTTTTGGTCATGCTTTATTTTTGCTTTTATAAAACAATTTTGTGATTGTTTTGTTATTCACTATGCTTTAAAATCCATRCCCTAGTTACAACAAATAATTAATAGTTAAATAACATGCGTCTTAAAATTTTTACAAATGTGTATTTTTTAATTTCTTTAAATTATGTGAAATGTTATCATTATTATTATATTTTTATTTTTATCTGCAGTACAATYTTATTTTATATCCAAAAAATAATTTTTTTGCTTACTCCACGTTTTTGCCATTAAAATTACATAATCTAACCTAACCCTTGAGATAGTATAAAACGATATTTAGATTTGTATTGTTGTCATTTTTATTCGATAAAAAATAAAAATAGAATAATATTTACCTAACTAAATTAAAAAATACTGTTTTAATATTGAATTGATTTATGAACTTCCTATTCCATTAGGTTAATCAGTATACGGTTTATCTAAATCAATAACTGTTTTGGGCCCATTTTATAATCCTTAAACTATTCATCCAAAATTTGATTTTAATATATCAGAGTACTTTAATAAACTTCTGTTTTACAGAATTAGAATAAATGTTATCATTTAAAACATAAATGGAAACTTAAAAAATAAAAAATTTAGTTATTTCCAATAACCCAATACAATCATGATTATGATCAGATGCTTCAAGAACAATAAAAAAATAATTTTAATTAGTCTACTATAAGTTACCTATTTAAGCAATTAATTATTATGTACTTAAATGTAAATGATCCATCTATCTTTCACATTTATACTTATCTTATCTATGATTTATGATTTAAATTACAGTATAATTTATAAACAATTAAAATTACCTCAAACAAATTCAAATTTTAAAAACATTTATCACATGCTTATTATGGTGATTGATGAGAAACCAAAATTAAYTCTAAAAATACTGTAGATTTCTGTTACTTATCATTAACTTATTAATGAATTCATATTTCATTTAGACAYACCCATAGCAATACGCCTTTAATAATTAAACATTTTGTTATTAATCAGTATTTATTTTATATTTCATATTTTAGTCCCCTGCAGTCCTGCAATTTCATTTTAGACGGGTTTAGAATTATTTTATTTTATTAATAACATTTTAAATATCCATTTACAATATTCAAATGATAAAGTTTCTTATTAATTGAAAAGTGTATAAAAAAACCCAATCATATTTATCATTAATCAACTGAGTTACCAACTTAATTTATAATGCTGAATACTGTTGTTTTAAATATTATGTACTTTTTTTTCTAAGTTTATTATTATAATATTTCTTTTACATAAAGTTAAAATGCTCGTAGTTTATCTTTCATGTAATGTTAATCTGTTATTATTTAAGTATAAAAAATGTACAATACATTTAAGAACTAAAAATAAAATATGAAAAATCTGTCACTACCCAAGACCGTTGTTGGGTATTTTTTTATGCATTTAGAATAATAGGTAAATTTTGAAAAAATATTTAAATTTTTTTGTTTCTTGTTTGTGCCTTATAGGATAATATTTTTGTTTTATTTTAGTAACACCAAAGTAAAAGCAAATTAAAAAATAAATATGTGCATTCCTAGTAAAAAGAATTAGGAATTCTAATATGTTTTCAAAATTAAATTGGACTTTCRTCCTAGGTAAATTTTTCTTTCTTTTTTTGGGACTTTTGTATTTAAACTTTTTTAATTGAAAAAATACAGTGAAGTATAACTGTGCGTATGTATATTATGGAATTCCAATAATCTTTGCTGTAATTTATCTTTAATTACATAAAACGTTCGAGGGAACTCATGCACACTAATAATAAGTCACTACCACTTAAAAAAGTTTGTTTTCAACAGCCTTAAATAAATAGTAGCTTATTAATATCATTAATTTTGTTGTATATCCTTTAATAAATTATTAAAATATGTTTTTAGAACAACACAAAAGTAGTATGAATCCAGAAACTATATTAGCTTTGTTGCAAACTGCTTCTTGTGAAACTGAAGAAGAATCAGATGTAAGTACCTATTAAATTAAAAAATTCCAAAAAAATTTTTGAATWCATCTTTGTTTTTGTTATATTAGAAATTGGCAGAAAAATTTTTAAGTGGCGACACTGACTTAGAAGGCTTTTTGGAAGAATTCCTAAAGCGACGTAAGGATATGCATTTGCGTAAAGCTAAAGCAGATAAAATGTCTGAATTGCTAAGTAGACGTAATAATTCCTTCAGACCATCAATCAATAACATTCAACAAACAACAGCAGGATATCCACAACCTGGATACCCCAATTCATTTTATTTTCAACCTACTTCAATGCCATATCCAAATGTACCCATTAATATGCCCATGCCAGGAAATCAATTTATAAACAGACAATATTAATTCAMAATTTATTAATTAATAATTATATACAAAACAACGATGTTACATTTATTATTTTTATTATTAAAATATACATTTATAAATTTGAATTATGTATATAGAACAAAATACAATTATTAGAATGTTATCATTGTTTTTGAACTTGTGTAAACACCTTTTTGACTTTTAGCTTTACCACTTGATTAATCCTGGGATGTATTTGTCGATCAATGTTTGATAATATGGAATCAATTCTTTTATATCTGGTATGACACCTCCTTTAGTATATAAATCAAATTTACTGAAAAAAGAAAAAGGAAAAATATCAGTTTTCATAATATTTTTCTATTAATTACAGAGTGGCAAGGTTTTTGAGATATTATACAAGATGAAATAATACAATAATTAATAAGTTTCTTGATAATAGACAAAAACCTTTTCTATATTAAACTTAAAGTCTCATCTACCACTTACTTAAACTCTAAGACCCATTTCTTCATTTCTAAATCATCTTCAGTGCATAAAAAGTCATAGTCACCACCAGAGTGCCACGGGTAAAATGAATGGAATCTACAATCCAATATGCATAGTATTATTATTTTTAGTTATAAAATAAAAATGAAATACAAACAAGTTAAAAAATATATAAGTACCAAAAATAATTTATCGAGATAATTATTATCTACCTAATCATATTTAGTCCTTCTTTGGGTATTGTTGTTTTGTTGTGTACTAAGACTCTGTATAAGTATTCATCATGTCCCCAAGACATCAAGATATTATCCAAWCCACAATTTTTCGAATAAATACCTAATTTGGTGCTGAAAAGTGAAAATACAATAATAATAATTTAGCTTTAGATAGATTTTAACAAATTAAATATTAAAGTTACTTGTATCTCGGGTCATAGGTGTCTGGGTTCTTTTTAAATGTGGTGTCTTTATAGACTATAGAATCTGCCCATGCACATCCAACAGGAAAAGTATCACCAACCACACTCCACTGAGGTTCACCTTTGAAAGCCATCACCTAATTAAGTGCAAAGAAAACAAATATGAGTTTGTGAACAAAATACCCTCCCACCAAATAAAAAAAACTGGGAACTAGGTTGCTATTGCCTAGAGAGTATAGTATTAGCATTGATTATTGATTATTCTATAATCAATGGTATTAGTGTATTAYCAGCATTGTTTATTATTAGAAAATGTATAATATTGTTGTCTATTTTATTATGAACATTCGCGATTCACATACGACCTATTGCCTGCTTAAGGTTTGTTTAGAATCGAAACTGGATTACTTAATAGTTTAAGTGCACGTTTACAGTTTACTCACTTTCCCTAAGTCGTGTATCAGACCAACCAAATGGAACCAGTCATGGTTTGGATGAACAGCGCGTATACGTTCGGCAGTTTGAAATGCGTGAACAATGTTGGGAATGTTTACGTCAGGATCGCTTTCGTCCACTAAATTGTTGAGGGATTCCAATGCTTCCATAATAGTTGCTTCAAATTTATCGAAAGACAACCATTCAGCCATTTTTTCTTTGGGTTGGAAAATAAAACAGTTAACATTTTTATTGAGAATATTAACCAAAACATTTAGTAGACACATTTAATAACCATTTTCTATTAGATATTATATTTATTTAATAGACGTCGCA